GGTATAATCTTCAGTTTCTACCAGTCCCAGGTTTCCAGTTGCCTGGTAGTACAGAAAGGGATGCAGAGGAAGGCTGGGCCACAAGTCCTGTTGCCCATGGAAAAGAAGGATATGAGGACAAAGTGGAAATGATGGGAAAAATATAAAGTATCCTCTCCTGCACCCCAATGGAGTATAAGAAAAGGGAGGGGGAGGGAGGGAATCAATAGTTAGACTTACAACCCAGTTTAGACCAAAATGATGACAGGGCAGGGGGTGAGCAGGGGAGGGCATAGGAAACTGGCAGGTGAGCTCCTTATACACGAGAGCCGCACCAACGTGAAAATGCCCCCCGTCTGATGAAGCAAAAGGAGACTTGAAGTAGCATCTCTAGGCCTCCCCGGGCTCTTTGGGAGAAGCAGGGGACTCGGGCATCCTCACAGGTTTTGAGAGGGACAGCAGGATGGCCCGCCATAAAGATGCGACGGCCTAACCAGGAGCCAAACAGAGGACAAAGAGGAACCCGACGTGAGGCTGAACCAGCACAAATCAGCCGAGGCACAAGTCAGTGGGCTCCAGCATTCACATCGAGGTCCAAAGAGCAGCCCTGACCAGATGCCCCGTGGCAGAGGCCATAGCGGGGCAGAGACCAGCGCAGGGACTCACAGGCAGACCTGGGGCTCCATGCCCAGCCAAGGTGAAGACTCATAACCCTTTCACTCCCCCCTGCACATGTACCTGAGATCCAGAGGCCATCTGGGTGGAGTGAAAAGGGGAAGAAATCCAAGGAAAAGAAACAAACACTAAGCATGTATTCAAATAAACTGAGGGAGGGATCCCAACCAAAGCAAACCCACTGTCGCCCCGGCACTTTAGACTCATGGCCGCCCTTTATGACAGAGTAGAGCTGCCTCTTTGGGCTTCTGATGCGATGACTCTTCCCAGGAGCAGAAAACATCGTCTTTCTTCCACAGAGCAGCTGAGGGTTCCAACGACCGACCTTGTGGTCAGCCGCCCAATGTGTAACCCAGATGGAGGGACCACTAACCCAAAATAGAATACA